AAGTTTTACAACCTTCAAAAACTACCAGTCTAGGAGCTCTTGAAAAAATAGGTGGAATGTGTGCCAAACCTGGAGTCATTATTGAGTAAGCAATGTTACTTTTCATGTTAATCCTCTTATTGTGCATTGTGCACACTAATATCTGCAATAGAAACGGCTCAAATTTATGTATCTCACGAGACGAACGGGTTATTGCAAAGTTCATCGCCAACGTCCGTGCTACGTACATAAATTGTAAAATTCAGTGGATGAGACGTCCCACTAGCTGAATGACAAGCGTGAAGGTTGCAATCCACTAGAGATGCTGCTGTGAAAAAGAGCAATCTTGATTTTGGGAGCTGTAAATACTGAGGTATTTGCAAAAGAGAAAAATGCGTTTTATAGAAGCATTTTTCATGCCATGAAACACAAAAACAAATATGTTAAACAGCTCAGTGTCATTAAGAAAAGTTCAAGATATTCTAAAAAAGAGTTTTTAAAAAGTTTTTTTAATGATGTAAATGTATAAAATCAAGATTATATTATAAACACTTAACACCTAGCTCTTGTGCTGTCTAGGTAAAGCATAAAAAGTGAGAAAAGAAGGAAAAACATGTTCATAAAACGAGCCGGTAAGCTTGGTACGTATTGTTAAAAGAAAACAATAAATAAACAAGAAAAATTGTAGGTCATCAAATAAGATATATCATTGGAACATTTTTAAAACGTAATAGGACGTGAATCATACACTATTAGTTTCATAAAATTCTCTAAATATTGAAATATTTTTATGCATTTTTTAGGCATTTAGTCTGCCATTATTTTTAGTATTAGTTAGTCGATCAATCGTCCTCGATTCTTGCCAATTATTTTTCTCTGCGAAAACATCTTGCTGTAGCATACACTAAGTATGGTAGATGCAAATTTAAAGCACAAAATCCTTCCAAAATACAACAATAAATAATGTTTTACGTTTTTTAACTGCCAAGAAGCCAAAACAAACGTCAATTACGAAGAAAACAATCAAAACCAATGATCAAAATACGCATTATTTCAGGGGGGAGTCGATTAAAATTTAGCTGCATGTTTGGCTTCAACCAATCACAGGACAAAACTATAGGAGTTATCGTTCCAGTTTTTATTACAGTTCACTGATAATAACTGGAGCGTCTAAGTGGACTGGGAAGATGTGCCAAAAAATGGCGACCAAAGGACCTATTTCCGGTGAAATGACTGCTTTTCAGAAAAAATATTTCCGACCTTCCCCTGGTGTCTATAGTCAATTATATAGAATTTTTCAAAAACAACCACGATATCTTTTTGTCATTTTTTTCATAATGCCAAGCTTCGATTCTTCAATTGTTGTATGTCGTAGTTTCCACAAAAAGAAGCATCTCACTTCTCACAGGTGAGATATTTGCTTCTTTTGCTTGTTCATCAAAGATTAAAGAGAAATTACACACTTGAAAATACATAAAATTCTTAAGATCGTATTTTCTAAGACTGACTTGAACGCCAAATATGCTGATGTTTTCCTGCTTTTGTTTATTAACCTCAGCATACTTTTCTGTTATTTGTTTATGTATAAAATCGTAGATTTACCAATCAATTTACAAAATAGTTTCACTGATGCAAAAACCCTGCACATTTTACTCAGTGGGCAGATAGCAAAAAGAAACGATCAGCATAAACAGTACACATGTCTTGGAGCAGAGCTTGTTATGTTCTGTCTGTTAATCATGTCATATCTTTATCATAAATGTTTCAGTAGGGTGTTGTTTAAATGTCACTAATATTTAATGCCTGCTACAATGAAACATATAAATATTCAGGTATGAAACCTTTAGGTTACTGCACTATTTATTTTTTCTTAATTTCAGCTTTTGGTGTGCACAAAAATATGGAGATAATTTACCTATTAGAGTACAAAATGTACATTTGTGATTTGCATTATTTGCTGCTTTTTTAAGGAAAACTTTTTTGACTTCTCAAAGTTTTTCTTCAAATTTTTGCTTCTTGTTTCCTTTCATGAGATGGTAGTATCGAGGTAGTATAATTTAATAACTTTATACTTTGTAAAAAGCTTTTAAGCTTCTAGCATAAATGTACACAAAATGTGTTTTATTCATTTGGTTTTATTGCCTTGCTATAACATATCTAGCTACATGCACCTCATATTTTTTGTATGAACACAAGACCAGATGTGGATACTCGTAGAACAAAATCCAGTTGCAACTGCTGATGAAATTTATCATTGAAGTAAAAACTGTATTAATGATTCAAAGTGTGCACATTTGAATTAGCTATAAACGCCATTGCAGGTAGAAGTGTTTTGATGATTACTTGCATTTTGTCCAATTCATATATCAATACAATAAAATCAAAATGATGAAGTTCCACTTCAGAACAGCACAAAAAGGTTACTCAGAGATTTGTATACAATATTATTTGTTTTTATCGCACATGGGCGCCTACAAAACATGGAGGACCTACGGAACAGGGCCTCGTGTTGACTCCCTGTACGCCTCATGTACGGTGAACGTTGAAGCCGGAAGTCGATCAACGGCCGCCCTAAAGGCTGATTTCCATTGAATGCAAATTGTCGCGCGATCAACTTTTTGCAGTCAATTTCCTTAGCAGCTTCCTTGCACTCTGAGGTTCTGGTGATATTTGGTAAGTCACGATGATCATGCTCTTATTGTACTGGGGCTCGTTTTTCAAATCATATTTTCTCACCAGTGCACTGTTTGTCATGGTGATGGTTTCTCCATTGTTTGTCATGGAATTGCTCACTGCTGAAAGGATACCAATGGGGTTTCTTTCTTCACAGTTTTCATTGGTGCCTTTGATGTGACTTCTCAAAAGAAGTCGTTTATAGGCTGCTGTTAATTGCTGTGTGGTTGTGTTATTACGAGTTGCACGAACGGCTCCAAAGAATAGCTCCAGATAATCTTGTGACATTTTTGAAGTTAACAAGTATTACAAAGGTGCATCCTGCTTTTCTACCAGATCTTTAAAAATTAGCTTTGTGCTCATAAAGGCAGTGAGAAAACCTATGAAACCTGTTTTTCTGTGGATGCACTCTCAATGTCCCGCTTGGCTCTTTTAGACTGCTGATGTACTTAAAGGCTTCATCAACAAATGGTTCCCTTATGTGCTTGTTGCTTACTCAAAGTGGAACTTGAAGTGGAAGTCTGGAATTCAACACCTTAAAAAGATAATTGAAGGTTTTGTATGAATTTAATGGTAGCTTCAGAGCCTTTAAACTGTGGTAGCTTTGGGTGTTTGAACAATACTCAATTGCATCAGCAACACTGAAACTTAAAGACTGAGCAACAAGATTGACTTTCATTTCCTGTTGTCTCCTTGGAATATGGGCTTTTTTTAGTTTGTTTCCAAGTCGTAATCCTTCTTGTTTTTGGACTTTCTCGAGCTCAATCAAATATTGCAATTTAATTGTTTCATTGTTATTGTCCACAATAACACCCTTTTCTCCAAGAGTTTTTCGCAGCATACATCAAGAAGAACAATAGTTTGTTCATCCTTGTTTTTAGCTTGGGGAAAATAAAGTATCATTAGGGGCTAGTATTACGATGCGTTATCCAGTAGTATTTACATATCAGTGATTTTTTTGCGTCAGCCGCTAATTAAAGCCGTGTTGGAGATTGTCGCTCAAGTTATAATATAACTCAATGGGCTTGAAAGTTTAAAACACAAAACGGAGGATTAATTGTCATGCTTATATTGTCAAATATCATCTTTATAGGTTCAAACTGCGCGAAATTATGGTATAAGCTAAAAGGGTTTAACGAAATTACAATAAAACGGAAAACAGCGTTATGTTGACCTACGTTTTTCAAGGAAGTTTACCTCTGAAATCTTAAGTGGCTTCTCAACGTAAAATTGCCGAATTTAAGTGGCAGAACGATTGATGTCAACCCAGCAAGCGGCATGGCAACACAACCGCGCAAAATCCAGTCTCATGTACGTCGTCTTGCATAGACGCGTCGTGGATCGTAATTCGTAAACTCACAATACGCTATACTTTGACAACGATTTTGTACACCACGAGGTAGGGTCCATTTTTCTTTTAATCATGATGCAACTCATTACAAAAATACATTGCAAAAAGAAGAAGAGCAAAGAACACCGCGTACAAATATCAATGATTGTTTAATTGTTTTACTTATACAAGTACAAATATCAATTGTCTTTTTGCTACAAAAATAGTTCTTAGAATAACAATATAATAATAAATAAATAATATATTTCTTTTTCACCACCAGTTATATTGCATAATGTATTGACAAATATTGGGTAATTAATAATATGCACTTGCGCGCCAGTTTCGAGAAAACCTTACAGAGGCTTTTATGTCATACTGGCCATAATTTACCGACGAAAACAGTTTTCCAAATTACAAATGTGTAACTTGCAAACCTCTTTGAAGTTTTGCAGCATTTTCTAATTAAAACTCACAAACTGCATGTTTTGTTACAATTACTTAATGGTTTACCCAGTTTTTTATTTTGTCGATGCCACATTGACAAGAGTCTGTAGAATGTCCATAGACACTCCTCATTGATAATAGTATATCCCTAAAATTACCCTGTTTGAAGTCTAATGTTGACGTACCTAACAAGATACAGCATCCTCTGTGAATTCATGATGCATGAAAACCATAACTATAAAGTATTTTTATTTTGGGAAGACACTTAAGATTAATTTTTGCTAATATTTCAATTTTTGTCAATTTAGCTGTTTTTTTCAGTAAAATTTGTTGAAGAAAATTGCAAACACATCGTCAAACGAAAACTGAAAGCTTAGATAAGTGTCGTAGTGGTGCTTATCCAAGGAATTTTTGCTCACTGTCATGCATTTCTCTACATGATCAGCTCCAATCATGGGTTTGCGAGTTTCGAGAATGCTTAGAAGTGAAACTTTCTTTGAATAACTTCTATTGATGCCCTTGTGCGAAAATGTCGCAAAAACGTCATGTGATGGATAATGACACATTGTAATTTAGCGTTTACTAAATAGTTTTCACTTCCAAGCATACATGTATGAAATATAGTTGTCATTGTAACTGACTCATAGGGTATTGAAAAACAGCAAATTCAGAATGAAACAAAATAACAAAAGAAAGCAATACAGGTCTATAAACAAGTCTCAACTTTAACGTTGATATCACACTGATCACATTCGACTTGACAACACCAAACAAATCTACAGTTACACTTTCCTTTCCGTTTTACGTATTTTGTCTTAAAAGATCGACCGCAGCACATAGACTTGCAGCTGTCGCTCCCGGTTGACGTGCTGTTGCATTGGCGACCACGCGTTCCCATGATGCTCATGTGAAGATTGCGCTGGCAAAAGTTCTCTGAGGGCGCGAAATAGGTAAGTTTGGTCGACGTGATTTTCTCACGTCGCGAGCGATCTTTCCTGTACAAGAAGTTGGATGTTTTGTTCCACTGCGAGCGTACGGATCTGTTGTACATCTTCCACAAATGATCACCGACGTTCGTGATCGGCGGCGTGACATACCAACATATTTTGTACGCACACGTGTCGGACTTGCCGTGACATTTACATTTTTTTACTCTTAATTTTCGTACCAGCTGTTAATGAAATGGAAAAAAAACGCGTAAGAAACAAAAGAATTATCATTATGGTTGCCAGTGAGGTGTAGGAGAGAATCGAATCGTCAATATTAATTTCCCTTTCAAGGTCTCGAAATCATGTAAACATCTCTTAGTGGTGCTGTATGAATGTTAGAACATTATCATTATTCATTTCTTTAGAAATCTTTTCTTTTTACTGTGATCAAAATCAGAAAATTAAAGCCTAAGGCCTGTTTTATACGTCGCATTTTACATGAGCCGATGCATTTAAAACAAAAGATAATGAGACATTTTATTTCATTTTCTTTTGTCTTTAATGCATTCGGTTCAAGTAAAATGCGACGTTTGAAACGGGCCTAACAGATCATAATGATCTCACAGATCGGATTGGCTCTTATCTTTATAATGAGCATCACAGGTGATAATGAAAAACTCTTTTTTAAAAGCCAGGGCATCGCCATTTCGATAAGTTGCTTTTAATTGAGGGAGGGCAAAATTTATAGAAGCACGTTCTTCCTTATCTTACACACAATACATCAAATTACATACAAAAAAATATTTCACAATTTTTTGTAGCAGTTTGAAATTTTGTTGACCGTCATATACATATAAAAAATTGATAATTTTTGGGTTATGTCCAAAGGTGGCACCCTCAACAACAACATCCAATCGAAAATATTTGGGTTGGTTCATTTGTGGCTTCCGTCAGTAACATCAAATGAGAAGTTATCGGTTTTTAATTGTAGCATTCTCACTTAAACACATGAGACTAAACACTATTCTTAATTTGTATATAGCATATTAAATGGTGACTCTTTTGAAATACGACCTCTTTTTACAACTAGAAAGCGACGTAGCCTCATACAAACTTAAGTCCTGCTATTTTAATGCATCTAAGGAATTCTCTAGTTTGGCCAAACTGCGGTAAACCGTTTACTAGAGGCGACTACACCTTCTGAGTAGGTTTTTTCCTTTTGGCAAGTTGCTATGCCAAAAAGCAGCAGTAGTATATCGTACGAATGTCTGGGTAATGTTAACATCATTTTGCATCTATAAGGTGACCTCTTTGAGGAAATAGACACGGGTTAAGCGGAAGACTACTGACGTCTGTCGCTTAAAATCTACAGCTTTGCGAATTAATGTGGCGAAATTGGTAAAAAGTTGTCATATCCTGTACCGGAACACGACTGTCAACGTATTTTGGAGCAAATATTCAGATTTTTATAAATTCTTGAAATCAGGTGTGAATAAGCAAATTTTTTGGCAAATATTATAAAACCAAACGATTTATGAATGTTTGACGTTCAATGTTTTAATTTTAAGGAGTCATATAGTTGTAAATACTGTAGAATGGGGTTAAGTAAAATGTCATATCATTACTTAAAGTTTGTCTAAACGATAAAAACAATCAGCCACAACAAATTCTTGAAGATTGCTTCTCATATAGTCGTCAGAGTCATTGAATTGTCCGAATTGAGACGTTTCAGTCATCTAGACGAAGACGTCTTATATCGTCTTGTATTCTACAGACTAATGAACGACTCATATGACTAATTGAGAACAAAGCTTAAAACTTGGCGCAATAACAGATTGAGTTTCAATTGATTCTCCAGAGAAAAACTTTCTTTTCAAAAATGCTACAGCTGAAATTAATAAACACTTCAGCCCCTTTAAAAACACGCGCATGAAAGGACGAAAACTACTTCAGATGACAACAATTCAATTTTAAACGTAAGCTGTTTTTAAGGCGACGATAAGAAGTGAAAAATTTCGCAACCGAACATACTATTTTTGTATATCTGTTGGAATGCGTGCTTACCTTTCGTCCGACCTCCTGGTTGTGAGCGCGTGTCTTCCGCGCGTGGTTTGTAACCCTACGTGGATCCATAAATCGCTTGGCAAAATAAAAGCCATACTGTAGGTTATGAGGACAACCTTGCCAAAATTCGTTAACATCTCTTGGTTTTCTTTTACTGTTATTTGACCGACGTTTCGATTTTGGTTGTGAACCACAGCCACATGGTTTTCCTTTTTTGCCGTTTGCTGCGCATGCTTGGGATATTTCCATCATCACACTTGCGGCAGTGAGGGCTTGCACGAACGCCGTTTCTCGAGAACCTGAAGAATGGAGAAAAGTGTGAATAAAATAATAGCCAGTAATATGAAAATGATGATCATTGTTACGCAAAAATCATTAAATCAACTTGAGAATATAGCCATAATAGCTACTAGCCCAAAATTTCAATATGTACAAGCAATTTAATTTAGCAAAAATGTGAGCACCCTGATAAATGTGGGATTCAGGTGTATTTGTCTCTCTCTCATTACTTTACATCATATGTGTTAAAAACACTCTAAAATACTTAAACTGACAACAAACGTGAATCACAGTAACAATCACATTCACACAACTTAATGGTTACAAATTAAAAAAATTGTGAAATCAGATCTATTTTCTACTAAAATTTTGATGGTAGAGAGTCACTTTCTTTCACTGTCTTTCATATATTAATAATAAAACGGAAATCAAATTTGTTAGAAACAATGCAGTCATTATTGCCTGCATTGGACTATCAACTATTATTTTGTAATAGCTATTGCTGTAGTCATATAGAAGTATGTCTTTTGAATGGCCATGTCCGTTGCTTTGTGCTGCTATGATTTATCGAGTTTCCGCACGTTTTAGACGACCGGAATAGAAGTATTGAATTATAAATGATAGAACAAGCATACAACACAGACTGCTGTAACTTAAAATGATAGAAAGTGCATCCGGTCCGGTAGTCGGTAGAAATCAGTGCTTTCCTGCAGTTATTCACATGGAAAAAGCTGTTCTCTTCACGTTAATGTGGACTTATTGAAATAGAAAAATGTGGTCATCATGTTTTAAAATCTTCCCTGTCCAATCTGTTCCATTACCTCATTACAAGCAGATAGATGTTGCAATAACTACTACAAAACCTTGGAGCTTACAATTGCAAACCTACTCTCAGATCAAAATTCTAAGATTAGGCTATTTTCCTAGCCATTTGTACAGACTGGCTACAATAACTCAAGAATATATTTATCTGAAACTGCAGACTTTGGAACATTTTTCTTTGCGCAGGCGTGCTCTGCGTAAAAACATATACAATATTCAGCCGTACTGTCGAATATATAATGAAGCTTATGGTATGAAAACACAACTATGTCTGCCCTTACCCACCCCTCTCATTTTAACGTTTAAAAACACTTTGCAAAAGTACAAAAACACCACAAACACACAAACACGAAAGGAATGACAAAACTGTCATCCAAATATAACCTCATTGACATCAAAGCGCCTATCGTTATTTGTCGTCAAAACATGTCAAGAAATTGCCTTCCGCGCTATAGAATTCGTTTTCTTTTCTGGTTTGGAATGGTAATCATAATCTGTTACAAACACAAATAGTCGAAAACAAGTAAAATTCTCAACAGTGGATAAGTCTGTCTGTCTAGTTTGGTTTATTCATGCGATTGTCAAAGATTTGCCATCAATTTCAAGCTTTCAAAGAGTTTTAGACAAACACTGAAAGCTTTAGACTAATTGAGAAATTCTGCAGATGACACATTTGTTGCACAATTAATATTTATCGATAGCGCACGGACTTATATAATTGAAAATAACAGATTGTACGTCTAAGTGAATTGAAACAACATGTGATTTGAACAAAACTGCTGAAACATCAGGGATTTTTATAAGAACACACAGCACCCAGCGTTATGACGACAATTTTTACACAACAAAAGCCGAACCTTACAGCATATGTTTTTCTGTAACTATGTAAACCTCACAAATTGCAACACAATCAAACAGCGAACGAGTAAACAGTCAAATTGTTCAGATGCTGAAAACAATGAAATCGAAACTCGAAGACATTTATATATGACAAAATGTACATTCTAGAACTTTCACAGAGGAGAAAAATTATTGTGCTGCATAATTTTAAAGAAAAGAACCTGACACTCAAGCAGAGGCGTTGCGTACTTTCAAGTCTGATTTGAAATAGTGCGACATGCAACCGATGGTGGGTCAGAGGATGGGCGAAGGCATCGTACAAAACGCTTTATTCGAGTATGATTCCGTGCTATTTTTGATCGATCCCGCTGAGGAAAAACGGAAAAGAGAATAATTGTACTTTTTGTCATTGTAGACGCGTTACAAGAGATCGCAACAGGAGCACAATTGCATGTAGCTTCGGCATGGCATGGCTTTGTTCTCGATTGTTCACTCTAAAATGATTGCGTGACGATTTGTTTTCGTCTACTAATTTTAAGCGACGTGTTCTTGCCATGGCGTTTTAATTATTCAATTGCAGTTACAAAAAAGACCCACCGCACAGTTGGTCAGCGAATTCCACCGCACAGTCCATAGACGACAGGTCGCTGAACGACGCAATATTTTCGTTTATTTTGAACTGTCGAAAAGCTGACACGCGACGCTTCGTTGAGATAGCAGAAAACATACCAAAATTAGTTGCTCACGCGAACGACATATATATGTACCCAAAATGCAACTCATACAAGCATTTTTTACCGAAATATTGAACGCTGGTTCAAATTGTCTTTAATACCATTCTAAGTGCATCTTTATTGAGTTATTTAGCTGTTTGTCATTTCTTATCTCTAAAGACCATCAACTTATCACATTAATAACAGATAAGAATCTCGTAGCTAATATTCATTCTGTTATTTTCAAAATGTGGGCTCCTATCTTTGAAATAAAGCTCGGGTGAATGACAGGCCTGTTACTATATAAAATTGTATCGTTCCAAAGTTGCATGCAGATTGTTATTAATCAATTAGCGAACTCGAGAAGAAACCAATTAAGTTATCGAGTCCAAATGACTCTCCCAGTGGGAGGTGTATTTGTATTTTGTGATCAAGATCCCAAAGACTCTCATGTCGACAAATATACACATCTCTAAATAACTTTTCTACATCTGAATGTATTAGCTAAGAAAGAATACTTTTTATAATAATTAAAATTAGAACAAATCATAATGAACACATTTTTCTTTTTAAATATATATGAGACACAAATCTCAAGACATTGATCTTATACAACAAAAAACGCCGAAAACATATGATGAGACAGCAAAAAGCTTTTCCTACTTATTTCATCAAAAACTTGACAATAAGCAAGAAAAAAAATCGCGACGTAATCATGGGCAAACTTATATAATAATTACGACTTATGTAATTTTGTTGATGGACGTAAACAAAACACGAGTAAGTGGAAATTGAAAGACACGACCATTATTGCAAAAGATATCCGAAGAATTTCGCATTCTCCAAAACGTTTTTGTTTAAGATATGAACGGTTTGAGATTACAGTGGTACTTGAACAAAATGTTAAGCTCGAAAATGACAGATGCAATAAACGTTATTCACATTATAACTTAATAAATACAATCAATTATCCTCAACAACTGCAGCTCATTCCCGTCAATCTTTGTTTTTGGACACAAACATGTTGTTGCAGCTCGAATAAAATCGTTTTATTGAAAATGTGCCGCGCAAATAATTTGTCAGATTTATAACGCTTTATCCCGTCATTAACAGATATCAGTAATTATTCTTCGACAAATATATGTTTTGTATACGTTCGAGTTGTTTACCTGTTGGGAGGTCTGTATCAAAATATATACCTACTCAAGCTTCCTGTAAAAATACGTATGAAAAATTTAAAAGTGGTGAATACAAGCCCTCGACATTCTAATCTTATTAGATATATTTCAGTTCGAAACATGTACTCGAAAATCCAAGATAATCATTGGCTATAATGTTATAAGTAGGTGCGTTCAATGGTCATATAATTTAAATAACATGACGTAATGACTTAAGCAATGTCGTGATAGGAGCATAGTATCAATAACGTTTTAACGAGTTTCAAGATGAAAAAAAAACAAACTTTTGGTGTGTAAGTATATGAGTATACTTGTAGCAGCGGTATTCGTGCTATACTTCATCAAATATGGAATTTTGGGAAATTGGATGACTAGCGATTAAACATATCATAAAGATAATCGGAAATAGTTGTTGTGTTTTGTGACCTACTTGCGTGGATTACTGCCGTAAAAAATGCTAAAGTCAACGAGATCGAGCGTGCCATTAGCCACATATAATCTTCGTATGTATGCTATGTCATAATACTGTTTGATTCTTAAAAACATTTTTGAAATGATTCTGCACACTTTCGCGTGGAGTAAGCCGATTTCTGAACATTCTTCATTTGATGGGATTTTAATTTTCTGACGTAAATTTTTAAGGGATTCTCGGGAAATGTTCTAAGAAAGTTTATCGTATCGCTTGTTTTGATGTTATTTAGTTATTATTATGGTTAAAAGAAAGAAAAGCGCGTTTTTTTCGATCGGTGCGTTTGTTCCAGTAAAACTAATTTAGTATTTCCCATGTGGGTTGCTTTTGTAAGTCGCTTTATAGAGAGCCTAATGTCAAATATATTCGGACAGTCGATGGATACGTCACCGATAGAACGTCATCTCTGTACCTTAGGTCATGTTTGTAGATCATGGAATAAAATAAAAGTCACCGTCAGTTCAAGCTTATGCATGCAAGTGAAAAAACTCAAAAAAAAACATTTCTCAAGCTTGGCGAAAAACAACCTATGAATGTGTGCGTTTTGAAGCTTTATTCTTTAAATAAATGAAACCGTTTAAAAATAGATATAGGGCTGGGAATTGCAGTGCAACTCCAACTACGAAACACTCACGTTTTTTGAGAAGCCCTTCTTCCGAAAAAACTTGATTCCAAGTGAGGGGAGAGCAATTCCATCGGTAATCCTTGAACTGCCTTCTGCATTCTTCTAAAGCATTTTCAACGCCTTTCTTTACATGTCGGATCATTTCAGGATGTTTGGTGCATATATGACGCTGCCGTTTGTCAAACCACTGCATTGCACGACAATACTTTCGGATGCTAGCCAGTATCTTTCGTTTATTTTGACTCCCGTTTGTCAGGTAAATCGTGCTAGAATCGAGAAAGAGAGACTCATATATGTGGTTACATTGAGATGGTCGTCATCCAAGACTAAGAAACGAACAAAATGCTTGAGAATTTTACAAAATAACATTAACATGCAACTTGATATTTGCATCGTTAGCATGTTGTTATGTGGAAGTATAGAGCGACCGTGTCTGAAATTACCAATAAAAGCAAAGTTCCATAGATCTGATAATGATCAAGGTGGAGGAAAAAAGGATATACTCTATTTAAGATGATGAGGCAAGTGTTGGGATTCAACAACAACTAAGAGTGTGAAAAAAAATTAATCCAGTTCACAGCGATCTACATCAGACAACTTTTTAACGTTTTATGCTATGTACGATGCAGGAAAGTTTGCGTGCTGCAATTTCTTTATGTTTTCTTATACCTACAGCGAGGACAAACATCGCCTTCCGGAATGTAACAAAACCATATGAATATGGTGTCCTTTCAAACATTATTCTAAATTGCATTGATTATTTCACGTTGTTATTTGCCACACACACAAAATGTAAAAAATATGCGCTTCTCACGGAACGACTTTATCGAAAATACGATGCTTTTTAAGTCTTCAACTCATGTTTCCATTGGAAATGTCAACTCGCAATATTAACATGCAATCTGAAGTCATCTTCTATTTTGACGTATATATAAATGCATTGTGCCAAATTTTCGATTAATTTTCGTTGATTCGATGACTGATCCATTTCAAAATAATGACATGTAAATTGCGACAAAATCGATTTAATAACAGTAAAAAGCACAAAGACATCTCTCAAAACTAGCCTGAAACATAAAACGATGCCGAAATTTTCTAGATCAATCGTCGTATGACAACGAAAACGGACGCCAACACGGCTCCCTCATTTTGGATTCTTTCACGTTTCAAAGTTATTACGTCTTTCGTAATCCCTAGGCCTCAGGGAAAGATAGTCGAGTTTCTTTCTTGTACTAAGCAAATTAATAAAATCCTACAGCTTGTAGGAAATGTCGTTTGACGTGTAACGATTCATGCAAAATTTTTATACAAATATTTTACAAACAAATATTTGCATAACTATAACAAGTGTCGCTGTGTGGATGTTGTTCACCGAATTTAAACTCCATAAAAGTAAGTGCCACTTAAGTTGGTGATTTGACGTATTGTAAGATAACATAAGTAATCTTTCCTAAAGAACAATCATCTGTATTGCTTTATCAAGATTCACTGTGATACGATTTTGAGATACAAAGAGAAAACGAAATAATACAGTTATACAGTACGTAAAAGAAAGTTACACACAACTCTTTTGACGGCTGATTTTTTAAAACAGAGTATCGAATGGACGATTTGACATTCGATTTCCGGGGTTCAAATGCGCTTTAACAAAGCGAGTATCAAAAAGGGCAGAATAAAAACGTTCCAAAATGCTGGGGTTAATTCATATTTTTGTTTCGCGGTAAAGTTGCGTCAATACACGTTGAAGTATTTACGACTGATTGTGAATACCAACTCAAGCATTACTGAGGACGCACACTTGACGAGGCGAGAACACAGACGAGCGAAGGTCATTGCACGAGATATCATATTAAAAAAATTACTGAAAGGCACAAGTTTCAGACATAATAATTGTGTAAAGTTGACGTCACTTTTCGACACATTATATTCAACGTCTCAATAATGGACGAATATATGAAGTCTATGTGCTCTTCCTAATTGCGACAAATTACTACACATTGAGAATCAATTCGCGAACGCATTGTAAATCTTCTACATTGTAAGGTCAAAGTCGTTCAAATGATCACTTCAAATTATTGTTCCCTCGACATTTTGCGGTAGACTTTTGAAGAAAACTTGAGGAAGAGGGTTGCACAATAGGGGTTTGGTAACTAATCACCAATACATTCTATAGAAGTATGGAATTGAAACAGAACACAGGCACAGAATTCCTAGATGTTTTCCGATCGGTTTCTGATGACACTGATAACGTGTATAGAAAATGCAAAGAGTTCAAATAAATTTCATAAAGTCATTGTAGTCTTACCTAAGGCCAAGTAACAACAAGAATCCAATACGAATGAGTTTACATGGGGACGAGCCTCTATTTATAGCCATAGTTCTTTTATCCTTTGTTGACTTTGATACAAGAGATCTTCTCTTCGAAAGTACTTCAGACAAATGCTACAGCTGTAGACTGATACGGCAGGTTATATATATCGTGGGTCGTGCACTAGATTGTGGTGTTGTGCGCAATAACCTCTTAAAACGATAACCGGTCTTTAAAAGCTTTGATAGTTTGCGGTAAGAAATAATTTCCTCTCTTGTCTTTGTTTCGTTCTCTGGTAAGATAAGACAGATAGCTGGCAGCGATGCTGCTGTTATGGAGATTCTTTCGAGTAGCGTTCACAATTAGTAGCACACGTCTAAAGCGTTTTCAGATGTTCGTGTAGTACTTCTCTTGGGTCGAGAACACAACTGCGTTCCCATGCAGCGGAGACAGCGAGTTTTTAAAGACAACGCGCGCGTAATTAAATCCGCTCTTTTCTGATTGGTCTTCGTGATCCGGTAATAACGTGCGAAATGATTAGAGCAATCAATTACATGCACAACACGCAATCCAAGCCAGTGGGTTCCGCTGTGCCCTGTTAAGCGCGTCCCTCCCGCGTGTATGCAGCATTTTGGCTATGTATTCAAGTTTCCGAAACATAGCGTAGCCTATACGTGTACGGATGTACAGATTGCAGCGGAAGGTTTTCAGAGGAGTTTGAGCGCCGAATTCGGCCACAAAGAAGATTTTGAGGGATTTAAACAGTCTAAATACGTAAAGCAATTACGTATCTAGTACTACCTGCTAAAGAGCCACTAATTAATGTGTCTCTTGTCGAGAGCAGGTTATTTTTTAGACGAAAAAAGAAAGACTATTTGACTTCGCATGAAAGTATTTAAAAAATGTCGCATGCCATAATTGTAACTAAAGACCGCTTTACATTAATTTATAACATTTCTTTGTTAGTAAAAGTCGCAAGCGATTGTTACATTCTTAACGAACGTTAAAGTGGCCGTGGAAGAGTTAAAAAGTCCTTTTCCTTTTTTGATTTGATCCACAAGGTCATTTTGTCCGTGGTGGTGAAATAACAAAGCAGACAACAAGCGGTAAATAGAGAATAATTGTTTTTACAAAACGCCCACCGTAGAGCTCGTATTAAATGCGCAAAATGTGGTGATTTAAATGACAATGCAATTTGCAAGAATGGCCATTTCTACTTTTAGAAAAACTATAAAAGTATTCAATACATCTTCAATTGTAATCTATAGCTATCGAGTTTCACCAGGGACCGTATTCAAATGAAAAAAAAGAAATTTTCACATAGTCATAACAAATAAACAAAATCTCACAATGAGACAACATGGATCATGTTTCTCGGTGCTCATGTACAATTTTTGCAATGTGCAAGCAAAGTTTGCACGATCTAAACTTGAATACATTGCTGAGGACAGTAATGGCGCAAACGGAACAAGTAGAAACATTGTATTTTTAGCTAAGCTGAGAGAAGATGATCCGGCTGTCCCATCTCTATTGCCTAATGAGGTTTAAAGTCAACTCTGTAGGAAATCAACATATGGATACATCAAGGGTAGGGCCTTTCCCAAAGGGAAATATCTAAAATGTTATTCATTTAATTGACAGAAAATGCTTAAATTTTCACACGCAGTAATTGTAGCATGTTGTCAACTTATGGAATGTGATGGCAAACGCCCAATCTCGTATGCCGGTACAATCTCCTAGATCGCGAATGAGCCGTTTAAATTAAAGTCAATAAAAGAAATTCAATTTGCCAAAAGACGCGAACAAAATATTTTTGTGTAGCTTTGAACGATTTCCACCGCGAATTAATTATCGAGCAATTAATGAAATGAAGTAATTTCTTTGTTTTGAAACGACAGAGCGGATGCCTCTACACGGATACACTTAAAAATCAAATTTGTAAAGTAGGTAAGCGCAATACTGAAAATATGTCTAAAATATTAATAACGAATTCCTTTCGATTGACATAGGCATACAAAAACGGTTTTGACGTTGACGGTTTTGATAAGAAATTTCTCAGATATGTAATTTCACATAAGAGTTTATTTTACACGCGTGACCAAATAAGGCCAGACGACAGCATGACTTACACTATTTGTAGGCGTATAGTTTAATTTTCAATCAGAAAAGGGTGTTAAGTGTAAAAACAACATGCTATAAGTTTGAGTTAATATAATGTAGATGAAAAATCGGGGATTCGTAAAAACGACATATTTCGTCTCTAAAGACTCAGACAATGTTGATGATCTCAGATAAACATGACTGAGTAACTCGGATTGGTCTGCAATTAATCACATTATTTCATAATAGTATTTTAGTAATTGCCCCTTTCGGCAAAATTCATCGGAGAAATTGTTTTCATGACAGAAAGAAAACGTACCATTAAATCTTAGAGATTTTTTATTTAATCGACATCGTACATATGCAATGACAGTCTATGTGATGAGACGGGGAGTCGTCATATGTGGGCTGTGGCCATAAAAAACACTTGTAGTCGAGTAGTAAGGAAATGACGCCATTACAGACTCGTCCAGTTCTAAGCGGAAGCTACATTGTACTTAAAGAACGTTTGAAAAGAACAAAAACTCAAAAAGTATACATGCCTAAGTCTCAGAACTTTTTTTTCTTTCAACTGCTTTCCGAACAATTTTTTCGAGACAATTCACACAAATGAAAAAACCACCTGAAGCTAACACATTTTCGTGTTCACACTTCTTAATTCAGCAAAAAATAAGGTCACATTGATGCTGTAGGTAAGTATCAATTAAGGACTACGAAACTTTTCTCGGCATTCCTTTCTATTAAGAATTCTTATAATGCATTCGAATGAAAATGAATAGATACCTAATGAACTTTTTTGTGATATTAAAGGAAGATTAAACATATTTCTAACTATTCACTTTTCAGTTCGAAAATGCTGAAAGTATTAATATCACATGTGCATGCATAAGCCATGTAAATTTTACTTATATAATACAGAGCTATATATCTTTACGTGACACTGTATGATCTTTTAAGTTGCTATAGTCATTTATGAAACTTTAAAAACAAGTTTTAACATATATACAAAAACAAGAACAATTGAATATGTGTGTAATGTACCATTTGAAATGGCCCAGCACCTAATTGGTCGAGTTCAGCGAGAAACGTGGCATTTCTCTGGTTATTTACCTCGTCACATAATATAAACTTAACATGTCTTAATTTGAAAGCGCCAGAAAAACTATGAATTCTTATAATCTGTCCTCCGAGCTTGCACGACACAATTTAAAGTAAAAAAAAGTTAAGGAAAACAAGGAATGCAAACAAAATATCACTTGCTCTGCCTCGTGTTTGTCAACTACAGAATGACAATTTTTACATTTTTTGCGATTATAAATTTTCCGTTTTACTTGTAACGAGATTTTCACAGCATATTCTATGTATTTACCAGCTGGGAGAGCAATAGTTTCTGACAATTTTCATTATTTTCTCCATATACATATTTCAAAATCCCCCTAAAACCTTTTCCTGTTTTGGACAGAAATATAGACTGACATTAAAGAACAGTATATACACCGTACGATCGTAAAGTGTAATCCAAATCTACAATCACACGGTCTTCTTTGCCTCCAACGGCAATCCATTTAGTAAAAGTCGTTAAGCTCGTTCGAGATGGTGGTAGGGGAAAGAAACCCTAGGAAAGGGTTTTTCTTGCTGGCAGAAGTTTAGCATAGCGTTGCATGCGAATACACACACATGATATAAAGACTAAAAATTTTCAAGTAATCAACATTGACAACAGTTGCAAAGGGATTTCGCTTGACGTAATTATTCCATATGTTTGACGACAAGTAGAATCGTGACAAGAACAAAAATATTGTGTGACTATGTGACCAATAGACTTCTGGAAAATCGAAAATTTCTACTTTGACAAATCTCTATTTGAAAAAGATTTCGATGAATATATGATACACAAAAGAATTCTTCGTGGGATAAGAGTGCTTATTTATTTATTTTTGAAAAATAGCAAATGGTGATAAAAAAGAAAACGAGGAGTAGCTAAAAGTGTCGATCTTTGTTTCGCTGGCAGGATAATCTTTCCTATAATCGCAGGAACTGAAAGAATTTCATGATCACATAAACGCCGACTCCACTAAGGTTCTTTGAAAGAACATTTAGCAGGCAAATATTAATCTTTCCTGAAGAGCGAACCACACGACGTGCAATGATTATATAATTACACCGATGGAAAACACACATATCTTTAAAGTAACCTTATGTTACCCGACTGCACAAAGAGAACAGTCAACACTGCTCTTACTTTAAACACAGAGTGTCTTGTAACCTTCATTTTCAAAGTAACAGGTAACACTTAAACTATAGCACAATCAACTTTTGATGCACTTTTCTTACGTATGGTATATCAGGACTTTCTTTTGTATTAGAGGGCACCAAATTAAACAACTCATGTCTCTTTGAAAATACAAGTTATAATACAAGTCATAGTAAATAGAACCGTTCCTTGTGAAGGTTACGTCAACACATGAATGCCATTGTTGTTCATTAGAAAAGCAACTCCTCGCATTGCTACTCTCTGTCTCGGGCACACTTCTTGTTGTAACGTTCATTGAACATCATTTCATCACAACTTTTGTCTTTAAGGAAGAACAACAGTTTATTGGATAAGTAAGAACACGGTGCCGTCACGAAAGAAAATTGGCAAAAGGCTGTAACTTCAGTGCCGTAATTAGCACGTACTATATATAATAGGATAAACACAATTTGTAGAATTTTTCTTTACAAAAACCAAAAGAAAATACTTGTAATTTTGGCAATTACTGAAATAAAACAAACACAAAATTCAAAACAAAGAGGAAGCTTCTGAAATAGCAAAGGACTTTGACTTAAGTAAGGGGTTTAATTAAAGCACACTAATTCAATATCGGATTGAATATCTGAATAGAAGAACAATGCACCAAAATAAGTACAAGACCTAAAGATAAACTTAGAATTTCAACATCAAGTGCCACAACACTCAAATGGAAGCATAAAACTTCGATAAAACCACAAGACGTCCACACACATGAAAACAAAATCTCCTCATGAAACGGTAACAGACTGCACTTCCATAACTGATTAACCAGTATTCGTTTTGACTTTTTGATCAGCAAGATTCAAAAATCACTCACATCGCATGTTGAGTTGCATGTGAAAGTTGCTTTCTAGTGTTGAACTGTTTGCTTTTTTTTGCATTCACATGCAGCTGATAAAGGTCTATCAAGACTTGGATTAGAGAGAACATGATCACCATATACGAGTCAATGGGGTCGTGAAGGTCAAATCAATATGCGGCCATTCATGATGTTTGAAAGAAAAACATCTGATCATTTCGTTTAAGTTATGCGTAAAAGCAAATCACTATTCACAGTGCTTTTGAAGGATGAAACCGTTGTCTCTTGCTGATACTAAAGGCTATCTCCATCACCACCCTCCCCACTCGATTCCCCGTGGATTAAACTAACTATGGACGCATTTATTCTTAAGAATTATATCATAAAACATTGAGCTTATATATATATATATATATATATATATATATATATATATATATAATATAACATAACATGATAACTGAAAACCATTCCATCGCTTTTTTGTAGGGGATCCAGACTCGCGTATTTGTAAAATTGGTGCTAGATTATATGCATCTTGTTTTTTTTGGCGATGACAATTTGAGTAATGTACTTTTAATAATTATCTGGGCGTGCTAGAACATTCTAAGTATAATGATGAAGGCTTGCGTAAACATCCATTGACATTGAACTACAAAAAATGTTAAGCCACTTAATTTGAATAAACTATGTCATAAACGCCTAATGCTCTTACTCATGTATGATTATAGAAAATACGGTAAAATTGACATTTCCACGGAAAATGGATAAAAATTCAAGAAGTTGCTTAGAGCAACTCGCAAGCAGTCTTTAACCTGAATATTCTATTAAGTATAAAAAAAGTAATACAACTAACGCGCAATGCATGGATTAGCTTCCCTTAATTTTGACTATATGTATGAAACAACATTGCTGCTGCGCACAATTGATGCTCGAGCATTCACTCAATGAATGAGCGACAGGCAACCACATCTAGACTAAATATAAAACTTATAATCAGATATAAAACGTGCGAGCCCAGGTGGTGAAGAATGAAAAGCAACATAAGATAAAAGTGGTCACCTAAAAGCATATGTCGCGACGTACATAGCTCGTTACATTTGTGTGTGATCACAGCAGGAAAGATGGATCCTTGTGAAATTATAAGTAACACTTAAATTATCTTCGAAGACTGTTTTTTTGCCAATTAGTTGGCTACATTTTTAAGTCATGCTGAAAATTCCCGAATGCCTATGTTGTAATGAGACTATAAAGCATATAAGTTGCTCCCATTGTATTCAATGTTTCTTTTTTCGTGTTTAATAAAAAAAGACAAGTTTTTTCGTTTTAACACGATATTCAGTATGTAAATGCCCTTCATCATTTCTAACCAATTTTCCATTGTTGCTAATGCATATAATATAGCTATTCATAGTTGTATAAACAATCACTGTATCATAATACTACTATATTTATTTACACATACGTAATATTCTTTACTATACTGAAGATGGCATCATGAGATGTTGGAACATGTTTATTTAAAAAAACACGTAATTATTAAATGAGCATTATTACTAGAGCGTTTAGCTACGCAATAACGGTTTCTTTTTCCGTTTTCCGATAAAGTCTTGTGTAGCTAAAATATAAATTACGTTAAGGTTCAAATGCTTTCAAGTTTCATGCTTGCGTGCATTGTCCAATCATAAGATTTTTGTTTTTTTTCCAATTTGAATGGATGATGTATGAAAGTTGGAAACTGGAAAGTTGAAACTTGATGACGTCAAACTCTCTTCTAAAAATTGAAAAACTGAAAAATACAGCAATCCGGCGAGACTGTTATTTGAAATACCGAAAAACTCCAAAAACAAAACTTACCTTTCACTAGTACGAGGAACGTATTTGAATGTTACATATTCTTACTAGTAAACCTAAAGAATCTACAAACCAGCATGTTCAAACTCATGTTAAACGTTGACGAGGGACACAAATGCACAACATAAGGAAATTTCAAAGGGATTCAAAGGATGTGAGATAATTAATCAATCAAGCAGTCACTTGACTTAAACCGAGTCAAGCCGCCTATAAAATTAGTCCTGACTCACACAGATAAAATAAACACGAGCATGTAAATGTTTAAGAACAAGATTTCTCGGTTTGTCGATCTTTGAAATATTATGTTTTTTTTCTGAACATACCATTATAAGAATTGCCAAGCTGGTGGTGTAAAATACAATGAATAGCAAACGTTTGTCAACTAGTTGAATATTTTACGAATTAATTATTGATTTACGTCTTAATTCTTAGATCTTAAATGTATGCACACGTAAATTTATTGTTTTCATGAACATATAACAATATAATAAAGGACATGATGTTAAACTCATTGAAGTGTTTGAACATGTTGATGTTGTTATTTTTATAAATTAAATATTGACATGAAAGATAACATTCAAGATTTCATCATCAACAGTGGATGCAAAGATTTCAAGAGAAAAAGTTTAAGCAGCACACAAAGGAAATGCAATAAAAAATAACAAGATATGCATTGACTGTATTAGATCACCATGTTGGTCAACCATGGCATTTTAATGAGCAAGCCCAACTTTGCTGAGTTTGCCTCAAGTCGATACACTACAAGATTATCTGTCCATTGAAACATGATAAGCACCGCTAAAACAACACAAGCTCGCATGGTTTCGCAATTTACTAATATTTCGATGTTTTTAATTTTAATGATATTTCCTATTCAGGAAGATGCATTAAATCGATTTAATTTCACACGGACAGGTTTCACGAAGAAATGCGCAAACACTCACGCCCAAATAGCATCCGTCTTTAGTAACACTACTGTGGTTTGAAAAAACGCATTACTATTACTCAATTTCAGGTAATACTATGTCCCATCAAATTTCGTTAATAGAGTAATACACACTTGAGAGTAAACACAAAATGCGTACTTGATAATATGTATAAAATACGTAGTTGACAATAAGCATGAAATATGCACTTGATAATAAGTATAAAATACGCTTTTGATAATGAACATAAAAAAGATTTTTCGAAGTTAATCATACCTTAACTATCAGCATGTTGATATAATAATATTACTATAACAGGCAGCGCGATAATTTCGTAATTTGGTAAAAATTAAGCCAAATTGATTGTCTTTAGCTATCATTTTCCAACCTCTTACAAAAGTACAAATTCATTCCATTCAAATCACTTCAAAGTAATACAACTAAATGAACGACTTATCGGTTTGAGCTTTCCATGATTTCGGCTTTAGCAAACAAGACATCATAAACAATAAGGTCGTCACTTAGAAATGCGCGATTTTACTAACACAACTTTAATATAACTTAAATAATAACTTTACTATTACTAACATCGTAATTTCTGTACTAAGACCCCTCCGGTGGGACTTATTTTATTTTAAACAAACATTAAAAGTGGGCTTATTCTAAATATACACACTAGTAGTTTGGTTATTTTTACGTAACACAAATGCAGTCATATTTTAGAACTTTAATCAAAGTGCAATAAAAGTAGAAATAACAATTGCTACAGTCTGACAATTGTTTTTGGCATTTTTTTATTACATTTTACTCCGACTATCGTTGTTTTGTCGGGCATTGATTTGCAGCAGGGGGGAGGAGGCAAATCGTGAGGGGATGTTATTTTTTCTATGTCTTGAAAAAAGCTCTTATTAAAGAGAGGAGGGGGGGGACTAAATACAGAAATTACGGTATATCATATAAATCTTTGAGTCAAATACAAAAACAAACTCTTTACAAAGAGGCGCTAATTACCCACGTCGGGCAAGAATAATCTTGTTTTTGCGGTAACATTGAAACAAAACGTAAAAAGTAGTGAAAGTATTTTCCCACGATTTCAGAGAAAGGTCATGAATGCATCTTGGGACAATATCACCCAGTATTCTAAAAGCTCACTCACACTTACACTCATTGCGTGCGCTTCCATTCATCGACAGCCAACTATTTTCTCCATTCACAGCAAGATATTTCAAATCAAGAATTACAGTAGTGTAAAACATATAAATAACGATGTTTAAGACCTACTGGTCTTAAGACCTAGGGGTGTGAGGGGCGAGTGAGCTTTTCAAATTAAGGCGTACATGTGGAAGGGTATGGGGTAAATAGCACGAACTATTTGCTCTTTAGACGTATCATTTCTGTAATGCATTGCAATAATAAACCCTAATCATAGAGGTAGACACCGACTATGTGAAGCTATTGCCTAAACTTTTAAAAAAAGACCCTATCCTTAAAAAAGGCAAATCTCTTCTAAGGCTCACTTAAACCTATAAACATACCTGAAGTGCTCAATAAATAGGCGTAATATATAGTGAGTTGGCAATTGGTCAGAAAACCATATTAGCAGAGATTTGTTCGCGTGAAGTGGATAATAAGCTATTTTTTGCAAGCTTTGAAATGCTTTTAGACTGAAGGGAAATAGCAAGAAGCGTAAAATCACGCACATCATCATGAAATTGAAAATTTCACAAATGGCTGCTTTTTAATAAAAGCCAGGGCGCGAACTGAGTTTGACAAAATAAATGGCATCCTATTAGTGAGCATTGCGAAATGATCGCAACCTTTTTAAGAACCTAGCAGAGATATACATCACAAATCAAAAGCAAAATGGATTCAAGTTGGACAATATGCGTGTAAAATTCTCTTTTGTAAATGTATGACTACACAGTAGTAGAGAACAAATCGCCAGTCAATAGAAATCAGCGAATTCTATGAAGAAAAAATTTCAACATTGTTATTTATGCAAAACAATGATGAAAGATTAACTTAGCTAAAATAAAACAAAAATGTGTGATAAAACAATATTTGCATTGGGCAATTTCAATAAAAAAGCGTATATTAATTTCCATATGGATTTGGCAGCTCAATACAAAACAATGACGTCAGTAGGACACCACCTCGTCACATTTTTTAGGTTATAGTTACAGCGCCAAAAATACCTGCGTTTATAACAAAAGCAACTTACTCACTTATAGCAAGAGCTACTACAAGTGGTTCTTGAAACAGATACTTCACAGTTTTTGCTGACAAATGAACACAAAAAATAGCACAAAATCTAGGCAGACAATAAAGCCATTTTCAGAAAACTCAGACTAATTCGCCGCTGTTAGTGAAAAAACTTGAGAAGAGTTAGTTGTACCCCATGACGTAGCTAAGTTATTTTTTCATGGCCAAAATCACAACTGGTGAGTGATAATCTGTCCAAAGAATCTGTCGAAGTACAATCAATACCAGAATCCAATTTTTGTCATCGATGCATTTGCTATTTAGACGATTTTGCGCGCTTACATTCGTCACTATAAAAAGAGATCGCGAGAATCAACGGAAATGATTTATCTCATACGCCGTTTAATACAAAGATTTTTGAACCGAATCAAGAACAACTTCGGCGCATAAAATATTCGCCGTCGAAACCTGGCCTTGATGAATACAATTCTTAGCAGTGATTCTCATGTACATCAGCACTTGTGAACGTTTTACTACATTTTCACAACCGGCGTTTGTTTCCATTAACTTTTTTAAAAGATCCCTCTCACTTTAAGAAGTAGAATTAACTTGGTTAGTAGGCGGTTATCTCCATTGGTCCTTGAAAGTTGCATGAAAACAGCAACGGACACAAACTGCCTGTTGTTTCACTTTATTAATAAAATTCGCAAAAATGTCGTCATACTTTGGATTGGGAGACACGATGACATACCTCAAATTTCTCAAGAAAAATATTAAACATAATCCAAAGCAGTTCCCATACCGGAGCACAGAACCGCTGAACCAGAACACACTACATTAGTTATAAAATTCGGTCTCTTTCTTTTCCATTCACATGTCTGTTTTCTTTTAGTAATTTTGTTCAATTCCTTGAATGACATATCATTGTACATCAAATATTTATAATTTTCACGATATAATACGTTCAAAATGTAAACAGCTATAAATATTCATCAGCTTTACCTTAAAATGATATTTGTTTCTGCAATGTATAGATTATTGCTAATTCCTCTTAGTTTGTTTTATACGCAATCGATTGATGATGATCTTCTTTTATACCGCTCCAAGAAGTGAATTCATTCGCCCTGAAGAGAATCTTCTTTTATGATTTGGATCAGACGAATCACAATATAACAGCATATTCCATGGCTGTTTTTAATATCTGTTGAAAGACTAATCTGTTTGAATTCCTTAAGACTTTTTTTGGTTAATCTCTTCAGTTAATCTCTTCATGTACTTCAGAAAAATTCATTCCAAGGTATTTCATATAAAGGATTGGATAACATTAGTGTATCTCCGTAATTCTGCAAAATTTCTTGATCTTTATATTGGGATGGCACAATGTGCTCATGACAATTTCATTGATTTTGTTGCTCCCAAAACATCGTAAAGCTGTCATCATTAAAGTTGAGTACAGTTTCTGTATCAATTACATAAGCTGTCATTTGGGATTGAGAACAGCTAGAGCAACTGCTTTTCAACATGATTTAACAGAATTTTTCTTTTCAAATTGAAATAGATAACTTCTATGATAATATTGGTAATGATAACTTGATATGACGATACTATCGCCTACCAAACCAATCCATTTCTACGTATGCAGTTTTTCTAGTTATGCACAAAAGAATGTTTTTCTAACAAATGCCACGATCAATACATTAAAAACAGCAATTAGTTTTTTTCTAGGATTCTGGATTCAGATTTTCATAGGAGGCACTCCAGTAAAATGGCAAAATTTCAGTTCATTCTATCACTCGACGATATTGTTTTAATGCAAAATTTTTCGCTACGCCTGTAGAATCGGGCTTTCAAGCTTCGCACTCACATGCAAATCAACTGATTAGAATCATGTTTCTTTTACAAATACCAAAAATGAAACTAAGCACTGAAGATTAAAAATGTCATATATGAAGTGGTTTATGTTATTATAAAGAACTTCTTAATGTATTAGTAACATTATTATAATTCAACAATCTCACTGTAATTCAATTCCCACAATTTATGTGTTGAAATGAACTGCCCATTTCTTCACGAAAGCTTTCTTCAAAATTAGACAGGGTATCCCCCCCACAAATAATTATGTATGCATTTTAATGAAATTTGCACGATAAATTTATTTTAATTTATTTTTATTTTATTCACTCGCTAGTTAGCCCATGTTCTTTGCAACTTATGGAAAACACGATTATGTTTTTTATGGCTGATGTGTTTCAGTTAATGTCGCTTTGAATTTACAAAGCTTCTGCATGATAAATTTGAGATGAAAATCAGTTTATGACAGCAATTCCAACTTGTTCTGCTTTTAATATTGAATAAACTCTACGAAATCCCAGAGACGCAGAACTGTCAAGCACATTAAACTGTTGTGAATGTCAATTACATTATTGCGCATATTAATTTTAGCGAAAACATAATTATTTTATGCCGGTTTCATTTCTTTGGGAGACCATGTTGAAGTCAAAGCCTGATGCAAAAATTTCTTTAAAAACATATGTTTTCAACTCGAATCTCATTTACACAATACAATTTGCAAAAATTTCAAAAGAAATCAACATTTGAAGATTGGATTGTGATCCAATGCAAGAGCTCTACTGGTTAATTGTCACAGATTTTTTCATTCTTCAATCAGCTCCAATAGTGGATTGTACAAAAGGAACGGCAACAAAAACTACACAAGTCTCACTTTCAAATGTCACACAGAATCGTTTGATGCTTACTTCATGGCCTGGTCTAAGAAATCTTTAGGTTGCCCAAGACTCAGAACCATATCTCTCATTTCTTCGTCGCTAGCCCAGTCTACACCGCTTCCATAGATAAGCGACTAAACACGAAACACGTTATTTCAACTATCAGAAAGACCACGTTCTTAGAATATCAACATTTAAAGAAATGTACTCTGCATCCTTTGATACAAAGTAACTATTAGTCCACAAATGTTTTCAATTTCATTCAGTCTTTGATCCCCGTTCTATAACGACCATAGGAGGATTGCAACAAACCTCGTAAATATTTCGAGCCACTTCATTCTTTTCTTGTTGCTCTTTTATTTGTCTACGTAATCTGCAAGTTTTATTTGTTTGTTATAAAAAGTTATTTTACTTCTTTGGACAGGAATATCACTTTCATTAAGACGGAACGCTAAAAATCCCACTTAATTCATACAAGGATACGAGCAAAACCGTAGGATGTTGGCACAATCTCTTGACTATCATATGGTGATCAATTTCAAGACCAAAATTTGAAACAAATACTGCAGCACAGGTCTAATGCTAAAACCACGCCAGCAACTAATCAGCACACTCACTTAAAAGTTTTGTAGCCTATTTGATCAAATCTCAACTCTTAATATAGGTTTCTGGGCGAGCTACGTTACGGGCAAACTTTTTAAGTAATGACCAATTGATACTACATCGTAATAAAGTAAATGGTTTGAACCCGGGAGTATCGTTACATGTTTGTAAATGTAAATCATCCAGGTTGGTATAGTCCTGAGAAGGAGTGTTTTTGTTGTTGTTGACTGACTTTTCGACAACCTTAGCGGTAGTCATCTTAAGAGTCAAAAAATTTTTTTGAATTTGAAGACAACAACAAAAACAGTCCTTCTCAGGACTATACCAACCTGGAAAATCTACATTTACAAACATGTAATGATACTACAACGTTATGGCTATAATCATCTCCAGAGCATTTAGATAGAATTCACATCATTCTACTCTCCCAAATGGAGAATAACTGGCCAATACACTGTTTTTCATAAAGCTATTTGATTACTTGATACACCTTGACTCGGTCTTTGTTTCCTTCTGACTCTTGGATAGTTCCTTTTTGAGATGTACGTCCTGATAAAGCAAATAGATTAAAAGACGTAAAGTTTATGCTTGGTAGGATAAACATTATTTATAACTGATATATTTCCACCAAATGTCATGATCAATGAGCAGGCACTAACATAAAAAATTCACCAATAGTTTTTAAATATGAAGGCCAACTTTCCCTACTCTAAAGGCCACAGGCCGCTGATTTTTCCAATCGCAAAATATAAATACAATTTTCGTTAAACATCAACGACATACAACAAAAGTTTAATAAAAATACATTCCTCGACTTAGCTACAAATATCACTATAAAGTACAACGTTAAAAAGCAGCGGGTTCTCCAATGTACGCCACGTACGTGAACTAGGCCCAGGCACAGCACCTCACGGTCAAACACGAAAAAAGCTTTGAGGCCCAAAAAGTCAAGAAAGATCAAATTTTGGTGTTATAGAATATAATGCAAATGTTCCTGAAATCTTCAAATCTGTCTAAATAAATTATTTCCCTGAGGGTGATATAGACACTTAGTTTAATTTTCCTTTGAATAATGCGGAGGCCCTTGTTTGTGGAGGCCCTTGGGCAGCTGCTCAGTCTTGCGCTTTTCATTAATTCGGCACTGAATGTATCTCAAATTCATGTTGAAAAGCAGCTTAATAGGTTGAACATAAAAACGTGCGCAAAGCAGGCTGGTAAAGTTAGAAATTCGACATTGACTTACTAATACTTCTTGGGAGTATACGCGTGAATACAATTTTAAAGTAAAATAATGAAATATTTGGTTGTTCATTCGATTCTCGACCCGAGTCAAGAAAATAACAAGGGTAAAATTTGTTTTGTACCTTTCCACAAGCATCAATCAAACGAACCGCAAGACCACCTAAAGATTGTTTTGTCGAAAGTGATTTTCCGAGAAATTAAAAATTCAGATTCAGATTAATGATTTTTTGACGTTGAGATCTGAAGCTTTATCTATAATTGTCAACGAGACAATCATGAACAGCACGCCTTAATCAAGGAGTGTAAACAAAAGATAAAATTGTTGACACAGTCCTTACTTTTGTTTATCACAACCAGTAGCTAAAATGACAACTCAATTCCTATGCATCACTTCTTACATGCATGACGGGAAGGCTAAAAGACAATTTCAGGAGGTGAAACAAAATATGCTGAAAATTTAACTGTTGTTGTTGTTGTTGTTGTTCGTCCATCGCGAGCGATGATGACCTTGACCAGTTAACTCAAGTACTAGAAGATTGGGTACGGTGAGTTCTGAGGTGGCTAATGAGCCCAATCTTGGCATGGAATGTTCTTGAACACGAAGGGCAAACCAGAGATGCATCTGATGTTGAAGCACTGGCTGCTCTTGATTTCCGCAGCTCACGTTTCTGTTTGGCGTCCACAGTCCGCCTTTCTTCTGATGCTTGACAGCCCTTAAAGATGAGATCGCGCCAGGTTGATCGGTTCCCTGCAAGTTTGTCTCATGTTGCGGTGTTGATGTTAAAGGACTTCAGTGAGGTCTTTAATGTGTCCTTGAACCGCTTCTTCTGGCCTCCGACTGATCTTTTGCCGTTGGAGAGCTCATCATAAAGCAGTTGCTTAGGTATCCGCTCATCTGGCATGCGAGCAATGTGGCCTGCCCATCGGATCTGTGCTCTCATCAGCAAGGTGTAGATAGATGGCTGGTTGGATCGAGAGAGGACATCTGTGTCTGGCACCTTGTCTTGCCACTTGATTCTCAATATCCGACGGAGACAGGTTGTGTGGAAGTGATTCAGCTGTCTCGCATGCCTCTGGTAAACAGTCCAGGATTCACATGCAAAAAGGAGAGTTGGTAATACAATGGCAGAGTAGACCTTCAGTTTCGTTGCAGTGGTGATCCCTCTACGCTCCCAAACGTTTGTGCGCAACCTGCCAAATGCGGAGCTGGCTTTGGCGATCCGGTTGTTCACCTCTGCATCAATAGTCACGGCTCTGGAAAGAGTGCTCCCTAAATATGTGAATTTGTCAACTGTCTGCAGACGCTGTCCATTCACCAGTATGGTAGGCTCAGTGTAGTGTGTACGAGAAGAAGGCTGATGCATGACCTCTGTCTTCTTGGTTCTGATGGTTAGACCAAAGTTGTCACAGGCTGCGGAAAATTTATTCATGCTGATCTGCAACTCCGATTCTGAAGACGCGTTGAGGGCGCAGTCATCAGCAAACAGGAAGTCACGAATGAAGGTCTCCTTAACCTTGGTGATAGCTTGCAGTCTACGTAGGTTGAATACGCTCCCATCCATTCTATATTTGATAATGATTCCATCTACACCATCGTGACAAGCATCAGTTAGCATGGCAGTGAAAACCATGCTGAACAATGTTGGAGCCAGTACGCAGCCCTGTTTGACACCATTTGTGACTGGGAAGGGTTCGGAGTATTCACCATCAGCTAGTACTCTGGCCAACATGCCATCGTGAAATTGACGAACCATCAAGATGAATTTCTCTGGACAGCCAAACTTGGACATAATTCTCCACAGGCCCTGACGGGAGACTGTGTCAAAAGCTTTTGTCAAATCGACAAAGGTGGTGTACAGATCTTGGTTCTGCTCTTGACACTTTTCCTGGAGTTGTCGTGCTGCGAAAATCATATCAACAGTTCCACGGCCCTTATGAAAACCACACTGTGATTCTGGTAGCAGTCCTTCTTCAAGGTGGTCTATTAGCCGGTTTAGTAACACTCCGGCAAGAACTTTCCCAGCTATTGATAGGAGTGAGATTCCACGATGATTATCACAGGACTGACGATCACCCTTCCTCTTGTATAGGTGAATAATCGAGGCATCTTTCAATTCCTGGGTGATGGATCCTTCAGCCCAGAAGGATTGGAAGAGGTCAGTGAGCTTCTGGATAAATGTGGGACCACTAACTCTATATATCTCGGATGGAATAGCATCTGCACCAGGGGCTTTACCACTAGAGAGCTTGTTTATTGCCTCCCTGACTTCCGATTCAACAGGTGGAACATCCATGGTCGTGTTGATGTTGACCTGGGGCAACCTGTCTATTGCCTTATCATTGATGGAAGAAGGACGGTTGAGGACAGCTTCAAAATGTTCAGCCCACCTATGCAAGATCTTTTCCTTCTCGGTAATTAGTGAAGTCCCATCTGAGCTCAAGAGAGGGGAATTTCCTGACGATCGAGGTCCATATATGGTGTTGAGAGCTTCATAGAACCGCTTTGTATCATTTCTGTCGGCATAGGCTTGGATTTCATCAGCCTTAGCACTGAGCCAGGAATCTCTCATCGCCCGCAGCTTACACTGAACTGTTCTCCGTGCACTGGCAAAGGCATTCTTCTTGTAGACTGAAGTTGGATCATCTTGGTAAGCACGATGAAGTCTGTGCTTTTCATCAAGTAGGGCCTGAATCTCCTCATCATTCTCATCAAACCAATCATGCTGATGTCGGGAAGGGTAACCCAACACTTGCACTGCAGTTGAGTGAACTGTGTCCCTAAAGGATTGCCAGTCTTCTTCGACGTTACCTCCAGGATTGAAGTTGGCAATTTTGGATTCTAGGTCTGTGGATAGAGCTGCACTTGTTTGATGGTTTTTCAGCTTGGCAACATTTATCCTCTTTTTGGTCATGCATCCCTGTGGACGTCTCTTTGGTTTGATGCGGATGTTCATTTTAGAGATGATGAGTCTGTGGTCAGTCCAGCACTCTGCACCACACATGGCCTTGGTAATTCTGACATCCTGCCTGTCCTTCTTCCTGACAATGATGTAGTCGATGACATGCCAGTGTTTCGACCGGGGGTGCATCCATGATGTTTTGTTCCTGTTGGACAGCCGGAATATTGTGTTGGTTAAAAGGAGACCATGCGATGAGCATAACTCCAGCAGGCGAAGGCCATTGCTGTTGCACTTGCCTACCCCACTCTTTCCAATGACTCCATCCCAGGCAGAATCACGGCCTACCCTTGCGTTAAAATCCCCAAGTAGGATCAGCTTATCAGTACTGCGCACGGATGAAAGCATAGTATCCAGATCTTCGTAGAATCTGTCTTTCACATCTTCAGGATTTTTCATTATAGGTGCATAGGCACTGATGAGTGTGGCCCGTTTACCATCATGTAGATGAATCTGCATTGACATGAGACGATCGTTTGTACCTTTAGGGAGATTGGCAAGCTTTTGCACAAGATGGTTCCTGATGGCAAAACCTACCCCAGACTCTCGGCGCTCGTCGGCAGAACGGCCACTCCAGAAGAAAGTGTAGCCACCTACATTTTCAGTCAGCTGCCCCTCATTAGCGAAACGAGTCTCACTCAGTGCTGCAATGTCGATGTTATATCTAGCAAGTTCTCTGGCAACTAAAGCAGTTCTCCTCTCTGGTCTGTCTGATGAAGGGTTGTCAAGTAATGTACGCACATTCCATGTGCCTAAGGTGATCGGTGTCACCTTAAATTTTTTCTTTCCTTTATTTCGACCGCTGGTGTGGGATTCCCGCCAACCGCGGCTTGCTGGCCAGGATGAAGGTTAAAGCAGGCTTTTTTTTAGGACACCTTTTCTAGTCCCTTCCTCATGTGAGGTGAGCAGTGCATCCCTAAAAAGGGCTGCTCAGACACCCAGGTAGACGCCGAGTTCACTGCTGCTTCAGTCAGTACGAAAGCGACCATTAGACCTGGGCCGCCTGTGTGCAGGTCTGCAACTACAGCTCCCAGTGTATCCACACCTGCTGCTTCGTCGCTCGCCCATCGCCACAGGGCTTCAGGAAGAAAAAAAATCTTACTTCTAGGTTAAGTGGTGTTGTCAAGACGTATGCAAGAATTTATTATAGTGAGGAAAAGCTGGCAGACGTCAACCTCACTCTTCTCTGAAATCACATGGATCCAGTGGCAAGACAGTGTCGAGACGACTGGTGGTGACCTCAGATGCAGGAGTATTCGGTTACTGCTAGATGTTATGCAGTCCATCAACGGAGCTCCACCCGGAACCAGACAAGGATAGTTTGGGACAGCAAAATACCAAAACGGAACA